AAGTTCTACTATTGGAATTGCTCAAAAGGATGAAGAATCGGAGCAGCAGCCATATCCTGACAAGGCACAAAGCAATACCAAAGCTCTATCAGAATCCTCACCTGAGATCTCTTGTGAAAGTGATTCATCTTATCCAAGGTTTGATCTGATAACTGCACAGTCTGTCACCTTTAGATTGATCATTGTATTCAGATCTTTTATTTCTTTACCACTGAGTTAAGTTTTAAATATAGTAGATTATAAAATTGTAAACTGGGAGCTCGAAATTGTTGCATCCATCAGCCTGGAAAGTTGAAATATTCTCAAAGGGTAAAAGCAGTTGGTTGAAATCTGATAACCGGCTGTCAGGTTAACGTATGCTAGGAGGAGTAAGGGGTAGAGTATAGTTGGAAAGTGAGGGATTATCAGTTAGGATCTTTAGCTAATGGCTACAGAAGTTAGTTTCGTAAATCAACCTTGTATTATTATTTTTGTTTTATTCGATAATATTGTCATTTGTAGGAGTAAATTACTAAACTGTCCCAAAACAAAACGCTAAATCCCTCCACGCATTCTTATCGTCAACTCCCTCTCTCCCTTCAAATCTTCAAATTCCCTCTCTTTCTTATTATTTACCTCCCTCCCTCCTTCCCAATTCAAATCTTGAGATCTATCCACCCCTTTCCTTCGTGGCACTCCGCCATCGCCACCAAACCATCCTCCTCTGCTTCCAACCACCACTCCTAATGTCACCCTCTAAGGCCGTGTAATCTGCACCACCAACGAAAATATTGTGGCAAGGAAGATCCAGATATGCGATGAGGAGGACGAGGCAGTGGTGAAATAGCAGCAGGTAGGAGGGCAATATGTGACAAGAAGGGTTTAGGTGAGAAAGAAACCTGCTGAAGAAAATGAAGTTAGGGGTTTTCTTTGACCATGTGCTTTCTTTGCATGTTGATGCTTTTTACTTGATGTCGAGGAAGTTTTATTCGACCTCAAAAGGCACAATTTGCGAACAACTCCTCTCGTTGAATCACAAATGGACGGTGGCTGACAGAGATCAGATACTAGATAGTTGCATGTTTGAATATGTTAAAAGCCCAGAAATGCATGAAAAAGCAGGCTAATCTGGGAGGGGAGACAAGGTGTACGTGATTGGGAACTTGGTTTTCCTGAAGTTGCGACTGTGTCGACAGAAAAACTCTGGCAACTCGTCAAAACCAGAAGTTGGCCACGAGATTTGGGCCATATTGCATCCTCGAACGGATAGGGGCTGTGGTGTTCAGATTGGAGTTKCCCTCTACGACAACTTTACATCCCATATTTTATGTACCGCAATTCAGGAGGGCATTTGGGAGCTGTGTTTCTTCCATATGATACCGTCACAGTTAACA